TACATTCCAATCTCTTTTTATGTATCTGGGATTACATGGAGATGATCTGAATCTCAGTTGATTCTTATTCTGTGAATTGACATAAAACATAGGTGTGACTTTTGGGCCCTAAGTTTCTAGCATTGGTAGAAATATTCTAGAAATTTAATTGAAGAAAACCTGAAATGGCAAAAACAGTTGGGGCTGGGGGAAGCTCTTTTTTTGGGGGGGGGTACTAAGGATTAAACCCAAGGGTGCTTTACCACTGAGCCACATCCCCAACCCTATTTTATGTTTTATTTAGAGACAGAGTCTCACTGAGTTGCTGAGTACCTTGTTTTTTGCTGAGGTTGGCTTGAACTCGAGATCCTCCTGCCTCAGCCTCCCAAGCCTCTGGGATTACAGGCATGTCCACAGCACCCAGCTGGACATCACCTCTTCTAACCCTCCTATATATTTTAAATTATTTCTAGATCATTTATAATACCTAAATACAACATAAATGCTTTATAAACAGCAGCTGTACTGTCTTGCTTGGATAATAATAAGAAGACACATTCAATACAGATGCAATTTTTTTTCCATATTTTCTGTCTGTAATTAGTTGAATCCACAGGTGCCAAATCTACAGATACAGAGAGCTGATTTTGTGAACTTTAATAACAATGATTAAGAAAGTATCTCTCCTTTGATACATCCTGACTTTTGTTTTAATACAATTTCCCCTGTGTTTTTCAGCAAAATTATGTTTGTTCTACAAATTGGGAGCACATCCCAGACGGACAGCTGCAACAGTGACCTGAGTGGCCCCCATGCCGTGGACAAGGCAGTGCTGCTGCAGTATAGCGTCAACAACGGCATCACCTGGCATGTCATCGCTCAGCACCAGCCAAAGGACTTCACACAAGCTCAGAGGGTGTCTTACAACGTTCCCCTGTAAGCAGCCTGGTTAGAAATGCATGGTCTCTCTCCTGCTCCCAGAGAATCACAGAGTGTGAGATGGAGGTTGGGTGAAGTTACTGGACCAGTACCACAAAACTAGGCATTACAGAATCAAGACTAATGCAGATCTCCAAAGGTTATGTTACTACCGTCTGTTAGGATAGGAAGCAAGGAAGAAGGGAAAGAGGGAATAGAAAATATCAACTCATGCAAAGGCACTTTTTGCATACTTCCCTTTCTTTAAACAGTATTTCTGTTCCTTGGGAAACAGAATTTTTATTTTCTGCTTAGTATGCTAATTTGAAAATTTACTGAGCATAGACGGTCATGTCAGTTTTGCTTAGCATTGTTCACCCACTTCCAGCACAGTGCCTGTCACTCTGGATATTTCATGTTTGTGATCAAATGTGTTGCTATTCCTGGAGTAAGGGAAAAGAGGAAGAGACGTGGAAAAGAAGTACGTCTCATTGAGTGGCTAATAAAATGCTACTTAGAAGAGCACTATGACCTAAGCAAATTCTATGCCCAAAGTTGTATTGATTCAACCTATTGCAATATCTAAAGTGGGCAAGTTACCTTCCAGAAAGTTCTGTTTGCTGGTGTTCAACCTCTTTTTCCTTCTATCTGTGACCCAGGGAGGCACGGATGAAAGGAGTCCTACTGCGCTGGTGGCAACCACGCCACAATGGAACAGGTCATGATCAGTGGGCTTTGGACCATGTGGAGGTCGTCCTGTGAGTATCTGATACATGGCATCCTGTGTCCATTTGAGAAAGGTTTGAAACTCCTTTGATCTGGCATGCTCCCTTGATTCAGTAAGAAATGTTCCTGATAAGAAGGTTCCCACAGGACCACTTTGGCTTACACTCTTCAGCAACTGCAAGCTATAGCTCAAGTCGACAGTGAAATAACAAAGCCCTGAATATATCTTAATGTACCTTAGGAAAAAAATCTTCAGTAAGTAAAACATTTATTTAAGGATTGACATCAGTGGTTAAATTGGATAAAAAAAATAAGTCTCCAGGTAAACGGGAAACAATATCTTAATGCCAGATCTGGGCTGCCTTGTAAAATAGAATGATACCCTAAAAGAGAAGGATCTGTACTGGTCTATATACAGAGTGTTGGTGGCCAACATGCCCAATTACAGCCTCCTATCTTAACCACAGATGCCCGAGGCATTCTCCATTTAATGGCATGACTGCATCTAGAATACAGAATCCGTGGTTTCCGATCCCCACCGACCAATACCAGCACCCAATGGGCTAAGGGTGTCCCCGCTGGTTTCTCCCAGGAAATAGGGCTGTCACTACTTTCCCCTGGCCGGGTTGACTATTCCCTCGCAGAGAGATGACTTGCTTTTTCTCTAACAATCTAGTTCCTGTAGAACTGGAATGCTTATGTCTCGACGGGTTCGAACTGATGGCACCAAGTGGTTGGCAAGGAGAGGCGAATCTTCTCGGTAGATAGGTTCAAATGTTCATTCTGTTTACCAAATCCAAAGTGAAATCAGTCTTGTGGCTGATTTCAGTCATTTTGAAAGCAAATTTAAATGATTGATTGGTAGGAAAACTACCAGATTTGTTTTCTTTCGATCATAGCCATGAGCTGAACTCTTCAGTCTTGAGCTAGCCCTGTCTTAGTTCTCACTGAGGCACCTGCTTGCATGGCATCCATATCAACCCCGACTCCAAGAGCCACCCGGTCCCTACACAAGCCCCCACTGTGCGCTCTGCTGCTTTTGGACAACTTGCTGGGCTCTGCCTCCACAAGACAAAGTTGAAGTTTAAAGGAACAGTCCAGACTCTTTGGAATCTGAACATGAGGCTGATGTTCTACTTAGCTATTGATTTCCACAGATACATTATTCCAGGAGAATAAAATAACTTGGGCTTAACATGAATACGTAGAGTGAGCCCCTAGAGAGATGTCCTCGTAGATCAAAATTCAACCCTCAAGTTGTTTTGCCCTGGCTACTTTCCTTACAGAGCAGTGATTCTCAGTCTGACTGAATGTCAGAATCACTTGGGAAGTTTCTGAAAGCATCAAGGAATGTCTTAATGTCCAGGCCCATCCCTGTGGATGGTTTAAATTGATCTGCAGTGGGAACTGAGCATCAATCAGTTTTTAAAACACCTCAGGTGATTCCAGTAAATTGATTCAGACTCAAATTAGAGTCAATAATCACTCTTATCTCTCAGATTTCCTGCCAAGAAAGTTTGCATTAATGGAGTTTCCTGTGCCTGACAATTCCTGTGGAAACTTCAAAACTTGTCAGTCCTCAGAAGAAAGCAGGATGCTAATTCTACCCTTGATAGACATAAAAATCCTCAGCATATCATACATTTGAGTAGATATTTCTTCTCCCACCCAGACAAGCAATTAGAGTTACCTACTTTGGATTTCAGAGACATATGATCACTTCCCTTGGACTAAAATTGAAGAGCACAAGTACAGACTTCCCTGACATTCAGTAACACAGCCCCTCCATAACCTAGAAACAGAGCTTGTTCTCTGCTGCCTATTGACATGCTGCCTCAGAGACTTTCAGAACCCCAACAGGAAGCCTCACATAGCCCCCAAGAGAACCTTCCAGAACACCTAGTGTTGCTATTAATTTGTATAAGCAACTGCCAGCATCACAATATATTATAAAAATGAAGTTCAGAAACTCTTGGAGTTTCTGATATTATTCTGAGGCTACAATATGTATTGTATCACTTCATTTTATTACTTTGAAGAACTTATCAGATGCCTGTCATCATCTCAATCTCTCGGGGCACTAAAATGTTCCAAATGAGAAAGGCCATCACTGCATATACTTGATATTACATGGTTGTTTGATTCTAAGTCTTCTTTCAGTGAGTCACCTAGAGATTATAACTTCACAGATATTGCCAAACACTTTTTGTGTACATATTTTATATACATAAAACCAAATACTCTCTCTCCAATGACATTTCAAACATGTGTTAAAATTATAGAAGTAATCTTATTTTTCTTCTTTTCCCCACAAAGCTGAATTCAAAAATGAGTTATTTTCAAAAATATAATCTTAAAGTATATTTTAAGACCTGTTTTTGATGTTTTGTTCTGCTGTCAGTGTTCAACATTTCTAGCTACTATACCCTTTCAAAGCACTTCTTTAAGAGTCACAAAAACTTTTAAGCATTCATTAATATGCACTTGGTTGCTGTTCAGCATGATGCCTTTATTTAATGAACAAAAAATAGTTGCAGAGGAATCAGAAAAATAACATATAATAATGTCCCAGAGTATCTTTCAATCATGTGAGGCTCAAAGAAGCTAGCCAAGATTTGTGTCGTAATTCACAAATATTGCTAGTTATAACTCTCCTATAGAAGATGCATATTTTAAAGTAGACAAGTAGAATACTCCCATAAAACCATATTAATTGAGAATATTTTCTCACTTAACAACATGTCTATAGCAGAATATTTAGTTTTATGAGCTGGTAATGTTTGCTCCTCAGGTGCGGAGTGAAGGAGAAACCCGAGGCACACATCTTCAGAGACACAAGCCCTACCTAAATGAATGCTGCAAATAGGGCTACTAATATGTTTTTGCAACTAATGGTTGGGGGCATACATTTCACTTACAAATTTTTAAGAATGTATTTTCTAAGTGAAGATTGGCCTTACTCTAGCTTTATTATCATAGTTTCGCTTTTGTGCATGTGCACCAAGGACACATGCGAAAAACCCCTAGAAAGAGAAACTGTGTTCACGCATGGTATCTTACCTTGAATTTAATGTCCATACTGCCCATATTAATCAAAAGGACTGATGAGGTTGATAAGAACAAATTCAGCACTTTTGAAAATATTTCAAGATTTTGAAGTGCATCCTAAATGAACAGGATACATGACATACTTTGAATTCACTAGTTTAATTCTCAAAGACTACATGTGGAAAGATTTGAGTTCCATAAATATGGATACACAGAACGACCAGCCCTGTACCATAAAGATAAAAACCACCATTTCAGCATTTAACAAAGTCTCTTATGCTTGTTTGAGAGTGTAATCTTCCCACTCTCGTGATGTTTTCCAGTAAAACCTACATATGAAAAGTGCTTCCTGATGATTAGCCCCTGCTAATCTGCCATGTAGCAGATAAACTGAATTGACAGATCATTTTTTTTCCAGCCTCACTAGCTTACAAAAACTCCTCATTCCCTAAAGTCTAAATGATGTAGCATAACATGATCACTGACAATCCAGTGTCAGAAACCTAATTTCTCTGAATTCATTTGCTAGCGTAGAACATTTGTTTTTCAGTAAATGTTTGTTAATACATTTGGGCAGATCCCTCACAAGATCCATGCTGGTGGGGTTCTTCTTAGGATAGAAGAGAATTCCTTGTCTTAACCTTTTTCGTTGGGCACTCATCCTTCTCTCCTAAGAATCTCCCTCACCCAACTATGCATTTCATTCACACATCACATCTCCTGTGTACATGTCTAAGTCACAACCTGTCATGTGTATAATGAAGTGGGCTGATTTTTGCATGTGTACCTTGAAAGCGAATCACTCAGTAAAAAGCTAGCATTTGTGAAATGATTTAATTAAAAGTGAATTATTATCACATTTACTGAGAATTGAGAACCAACATGTTGCTGTGGCCTTAAACACATTTATCAGATTTTAATATAAGTTCCATCATGACCATCCCCTCATGCTATTCATCATCAAGATACTGTCACGTTTTTTGGCACAAATGATTTATGGAGATGAGCATATTACATTTGTTGCAAAGCATATTTATCCTTTATTAAATTTGATTGTGTTATCTGATATAGAGGACTTCTGCATTTTCAAAGCCCATTCCTTATTATAATCAGGAATTAGTATTACCTAAAATACAAATAATTGAAAATCAGATAAAATTAATAGTGGTCATTAAACTATTGATTTAATATTTATACTTTATATGCAACATTTATGCCAAATGTAGTACTATGCTACATGTACCTTGACATATGGTTATGAGCAAATATTGCATGTTGCATTACATTAAAAAGTTAAGTGTATGTATATATTGGGTATAGGAGAATAAGAAATAACTTGTTTAATTTTTATTTTCAAAAGAGATGAAAAATCCTATATTGCGTCTAAACCTGGTCAGACTTTTATGACTAATCACAGTGCTGCATGCATTGAAAGCCATTTTTTAACTTGTGTTATATTTCATTATTTGCTGTCATTGGTTTTCCACTAGAGTAAGGTAAGTCCTCCTCACTAAATCTGGGGAACTGTTTACTCTTACTTTGATCAATGTTACCAAAGTTAACTGAGAAGTTTTGTAGAAGACCTTTGCAAATGAAAATAAAAATCTATGAAAACAGCTATTATAAATGACATTGGGATACAATGGAACATTTGAAACCTGTATCTGTGCAAATTCAAGAGATAGCCAAGTTGAGAGAAGTCTCTAACCTAAACAATATGGGTACAACCACGGAGGCCAGAGTGCTCATTAGATCTGTCTTAGTTTCTCCTCTGTGCCTGGCACTGTATGAAGTGTGCTTGAAGCACTCACAGTTTACAAGTTTGTTATGAGGAACATGACAATAAAAAGTGTGTGTAGAAAATCTAGGAGTCTTGATTAAATGTAATGTTTTTCAAAAGACCTATGAGGCTAGAGACACATGAAGGCGTCTTGACTTTACAAGTCCATTCTTTTGTTTTGTTTTGTTTAATTTATTTTTTTTAATGTGGTGCTGAGGATTGAACCCAGTGCCTTACACATGCCAGGCAAGCACTCTACCACTGAGCTATAGCCCCAGACCCTTTACAAGTCTATTCTAAGTCAATAAATAAATTAGCAGAGAGGAGTAGATTTATTCATGATACTTTATGAGTTCGAGATCCTATCCTTAGATAAGACTGGCTACCTTTAATATATACTTATACTTGTCCACTAGTTAAGATACTTTAAAACTTAAGAAAGAAAGTAAAATGGTTATCATTTCTTGAACATCTATATATGATATTGCAAATTTTCATTTAATCCTTACAATTCCCAGAGATATGCATTATCAGATATTATTCTCATCTCCATTTAGCTAAGAAGAGAAACAGGAAGTCTTTAGTATGTCTGGGGCATGTGGGCCTACACTTACTAATATGTAGTCTTCCCCAAAATGTGTTTGTCTTGAAATTCAAATGAATTTCCTTTTTGCCAAGGACTATCATGAGTTATTTTGAATGGCAGCTTCCATCTTACTCTCACCAATTGTTCTCTGAAAGATATGTCTAACACTCCACTGGATTCTTATTTCTACATTCATCTAAATCATCATTTATTGAGCCAATTTTTGATGAAAAATGAGTTAATTACAGACCAGTAAAAATGCCTCAATTTCATGTCAAATTCTTCTATTTATCTCCATCTCTCCCATTTCCTTTAGAATCCATTAAAAAATCAGTAGAGGGCTGGGAATGTAGCTCAGTGCTAGAGCACTTGCCTAATATGCACAAGGCCCAAAACCACACATGCACAAAAAAGAAAAAAATCAGTTGAATTGTTTTCATAATAACAAATGAGCTAAGATTGTGGCTCCAGTAGAGTAATGATTCTAAAGAGAAGAGAGTCACTAGTTCTTCAAAGATCTTGCACCACCCATATTTCCCATGCAGAATCATAATTCCACATACCATCTAAGTCCCTAAACTCCTTCCACAACAATGGAAATCTAAATGGTATTTTCAGGAATCCCTGATGTTTGTTTTCCCTTCTTTTAATGACTTACTCATAATGGGAGAATTTCAAAATGGTCCTAGTTCTATCCACCACCAAAACAAATTGACATGTCAAATGACAGCATGCTTTTGGCATGAGTACTACTGGCTTTCATTGAACTTATGTAAACATTACTTTCCCCTGTATGCAATAAAGAAAAAAATCTTTAAAAATCCATTGTACCTATTATTATTGATGAGGTTATCTATAGCTACACATCTGTATGTATCAAAAGTAAAAATAGACTTAGATAAACTTCACACACACAAAAATGAGTAAATATCAGATCTTTAAAACTATTAAAAACTTCCCTAATATGCAAGTTAGACATTTTAGAAGACACAATAATGCTTATAACCATACCAGTTTATTAAATGGTCCTACATTTAGACAGCATTTTGCTCTAGCTCCTCATAATGCTTGATTTTAAAAGCCTTATGAAATGGAAAAAATCCACCTGACTAGATTCCAACCTAACTGGCTTGAGAGAGATTTATGTCTAACATTACCAAATAACCAGTTAATTTAAAGGATGCTTTAAAAGTCATTTTTTAATATGACCATTTAAACAATAGGCATATAAAACAAGCACATTATTGAGTTCACTTTAACATTCTCAGGAATCCAAAGATATGGTCCTCATACATAAACTTATCCAAAATTAAAGAGTGTCCAGTGAATCGATGTGCCTCCTGAATTAGCTATAAACTTACACCCTGGGCTAATTTGCAGGGTTTTAAAGATCTGAAATCTGCTAATATTTATCTTCTGACACATAAGGATGGAAAATTTAAATCAGCTCTATAACAAGCCAATAATTATACAGCAAAGTTGCTTTAAAGCCATTAAACATACACCAACTTTTGTTTAAATTAAATGTTCCTTTGTTCCCGTATACTGAGGTAACTTTTCTATCAATAATTAAATATCTTGAGTGTTCTATGTTTGTAGTTTTTAATGTAAAGTATTTTAACTTTTTTTAGTACTTTATATCTTTAAACGTGTTTTCAACAAAATAATCTCATTGCTTTAACTTTGCAATTATTCCTTATAGTTAAAGAGTAATGATTTACGACAGGAATCCAATCAGTAAGTCACCAAAAGTTCAATAAACACAACTTGACCACCCAAGGGTCAGGCAGGAGGCTCAGTGCTGTGGGATGGGGTGGGGGGATCTGGGGGACAGGCAGAAGTTTAGAAATGGGGAGCCAAGATAAAGTAGGAAATGAGCACTATGAGAGTTCAAAGTAGAAAAAAAAATTACTTCTGGAGGGGAGGGGTAAGCAATATAGAAAATGTGATACTTGAACAAGTAGAAATTGAAGGTATGAGCCTGTAATTCCAGTGGCTTGGGAGACTGAGGCAGGAGGGTTGCAAGTTTAAAGCCAGCCTCAGCAACTTAGCGAGGCCCTGTCTCTAAATAAAAAAATAAATAAATAAGGACTGGGGATGTGCCTCAGTGTTAGTTAAGCACCTCTGGGTTTAATCCCTGGTACAGGAAGGAAGGAACAAGGACCAAAGGAAGGGAAGGAAGGAATTAAAGATGTGATATTGGAGGTGGTACCAGGAAGGAAGGAAGGAACAAAGGGAGGAATGAAGCAATTCATTGAAGATATGATGCTGGAGGTTGACTAGTGACTTGGGTAGAAAAGACTTCTGACAAGTCTATGTAGGAAGCAAAGGGGAGAGAAAGCCTGAAAACATCCAGAGAACATGAGATATCTGGTTAAAGTAGCTTTTATATCACTCCATCCACAAGAGAATTAGGAATGGTTTTTGAGCAAGGTGAAGCCATCATTCAGGGGAAAGTTTACTGAAATGGGTGTGTCAAATCAATTGTATGTCTGTATAGGAGAACAGACACACAATTGTGTTATTAAATTGTTCTTTCCTAGCACTTCATGGTTTATCTGTCAATGGAGTTTCGTTCATACGGGGAGAGAACCGGGATAAGGAGACTAGTTCAGGGGACCACTATAACAGCTTGGGAAAACGCTATGAGGTGACCTAGGGTGCTGGCAGGAATAGATCAAAAACCAGTCCCAAGATTTTGTGAATAAAGAAGTAACCAGATAATTTCTCCTGATGTGGATGAGTTCAGTGCATCAGCTCCTTGTCCTTTTTTTGTAACTCAGTTTTACAGAGGCAGCAGTTAATACTTATAGCTGCTGATGAATAATGGACACATTTGTTGCGTCTTCCAACGTGACATTGAAACTGATCAACTTAGGTGATGTATGGAATATCATGGGTAGTTAGGCCACCTGAAGACAAAACCTGAGGGGTTTTTATGTTTCTTTAAAATGCCTGCAGAGCATATTCTTTATTTCCATTTTATAGCATTTTTATAATAAATCCAGGGTGGAAAGTGATTAGCACTTTATGTTATAAAATACACATATCAATTTCATGTCTATCTTTTAATCAGGTTTTTAACACAGATGTTATTGCTTCTTAATTATACATGAAATTGAATTTATGTATTTTGCTTTGAGACAGTTTATTATAAATTTTCAAATGATCAAATTTAACTATAAAATTATCTTACTTTAAATTTTTCTATATTTTACAAGTGCTAGTATAATATCCCTAAGTATAATGCTGAGTAAAATAGACTAGGTAAAACAGCAACATTTTACACCACACTAGTATATTATTAATGATTGACATTCCAGAAGATTACACTTCTCAGTGAAAAATTATCCTTTTCCTTTGCTCTTCCCTAACTCAAATTCATGCCATGTCGATCTTTATGGTGAGATCGCCTCATATGACATTATCCCACTCTGCATGTGTTTTAAGTTTCCTTGTATTAAGGATGAAAGGCTTTGGGATCATGTAGTCAAAGAGACTCGGTGAATATGGAAAATATTGATAGGCTCACACTCATAAACCACATATTGATGCGACATATAAATATGTTGTCATTCAGATCAGTGTGTGAGTATGATTCTTTTCAGTGATGTTATAGATTATGATCCTTTTAAAAATGTATTTTCCATGCCAAAACCCTAACAGCATCACTCCCACCCAATACCATGCAGTTTCCTGCAGGCTTCTGATATTCATTTTGAGTATTTTTACCAGCCTCACACATAGTATGTATGTATCAATGTGTGTATGTAGGGAGAATACGTAAACATGTTTACAATTAGTTATACATTCAATTTCATCTCCTTTGTATTTTATGACCTCTTTTTAGCATAGTATCCATTTCATAAATCCCTGTATATAGAATACCACCACCATTGCTTACTGTTTGAGGAAGACAATGGAATCCAACATTCTAAGAGAAATGTACTTCCTCATTTTGCATCCAGGGACTGCATAAATTAGGAAGGTTCAGCTGATTCATCCAACAAGTTTGCTTTTCTTTGTTTTGCTTTTTAAGCTTTAAGTGAAAATCTTTACTGGAGTGATCAAACTATTTTTCCTACTTGTTAAAGATATGTGTAAATAAGGTCATGGGCCCAGCATGTACTTCCTCTAAAGTTCGTCAAATAGATGTTTTCAGGAAGAGCTCAAGGATAAAATTAAAATCCGAAAGTGTATGTCTGCTTTTGCTATAAATCAAGAAAAAAAAAAGACTTTTTTTTTTCTGATTCTTTTCTGGTTCTGAAAAGAAAGGGATTTCTTTAGGGCCAAGGGCAGTGGCTGTGGGTATCAGTCTTTACTTCCTGTGTCCCTGGGTGGTAATGTCAGCATGACCTATGAATCCTGAAAGCTTTCAAATAGCAGGTAACTTAGGATCTAGAACAGATTGACATTCAATGATGGGACTTACATGCTCTTTCTCCTTTCCCTCCCTGCCTGTATCCATTCTCATTTCAACAGCACTCGCAAACAAAATTACATGATGAATTTTTCACGGCAACATGGGCTCAGGCACTTCTACAACAGAAGACGAAGGTCACTTAGGCGACACCCATGAAGAATCAAAAAGATTATTTTTCCTTCCAACATGTGACGTGTTGCTTTCCATTCCTTTAAACCTCTCACCACATCTGATATCAGGAAATATCTGTGAAGGACTTGGTGGTTAACAGAAAGCCCTTCTCCAGACCGAGTGTATACCACTTTCCCACACTGTGAACTAATGACAAGTGACTTATTTGCTCATAAGTAAATGTCTCCATGTTGATGTGTCCGTGAAAATTGTGATCTGTTGTAATATCAGTTACAGTGGCAGTATTGAAAATAAGAAATAGTTTAACTGAAAAAAAAAGTTTAAGCACAAAAATTTAAGAGATTTTATGTTTAAAATGGCATTTAGCACAGTATTTAACATTCTTGGTCACAAAGCTATTTAAGTGGACTGTATTTCAGCTTTGTATCATGTTTTATATGATTAAATTATCATTGTTTGTCCTTTATGTATTCTCTTCTACAGTATAACACATTGAAACTGTATTTACGTGTTATGTTGCAATATTTTGCTGCTGAATTTTGATCTACTTATATTCTGCAGAAAGTTAATTGAAATACCTATTCAAGATAATAGTTGTAAAGATATTGTATCTCCTTTAATATACTCCTTAAAATGTACGTTGATCTAGCATTGTTTTGTGGATGAGAAAAATGCTTGACCTTGAAATATTTTCTACTTAAAAATTGTGTATGAAGACCCTGTCTCCCACAAAGGAATTCCCATTTCCTTGTCTACAGATTTCTTTTTTAAAAAGTGTTCTGTGGCTGATTTACTAACAGTAACTGCCATTTTGTGTCTGTAGTAACAAAGTGATTTGTAAAACAGTGGATGTTTTTTCATTGTGTTCTCTTCGTGGGTTGTTTTTCCTGCGGGTCATATTCACATCTTCTTTGGATGAAGTGCAACCAACACCAGCAAGATTATAATGGCCCCTGTATCCCTGACCTCTCTATTAGAATAACTGAAGGCTGCACTCCAGGGTGAGCCATGCTAAAAGCCCATGCTTAAATAAAAATTATGTCCAAAAGCCATTTGAAGTTCATTTGTCTTCATTTATTTTTAATTAAATTTCATGGAGGATTTGTAAGCCTGGTCAGGTTGGTGTTGAAGTCAAGTATACATATGATGTTTTTGTTTCATCATTGGTCATAGCAATTACGCTTTTATTTTAGGCATTTTTTTTCTCTTATTCAGCTTTTTCTACTAACCACTCTGTAGTTACACTAAGAAAAGCCAATAAAGAATTCTGAAAATGACTTATCTCCCAAGAATTTTCCTAGTGGTTAACACAATGCCTGTCTTACAAGAAGCGCTCTCATACATTCATTCAACAAATATTTATTGAGTGCTTGTGAAGTGCAGGTTCTAGCTAAATGTCAAGGATAAAAATGGTGATTTAGACATTTTCCTCCTTGCTTTTGACATCTGAAAAAATAAAAAGTGTGTTAATGCTTTATTGATTTTCAAGAGGATTTTTTTAAATCGAGAAAAAATTTTAAACCATGGGTTCAGCCATGGTAAACTTTCTTTCTTTTGACATCAACAATATTGGACCTAAATATACCTCCAATTAATGAATTAGCCATCGTTTGAAGGTAGACTGCACCCCTGGGGTAACAGTATCTTTTGAAACATTTAAATGTGAGAGATGATGAAACTATGATTTCAGAGGATTTTTCCTACATGGCCCACTTCAGTCATTTTATTTATGTGTTCATTCTTCACATATCTATTATACATAGTCCTTTGGGGGGATGAGAACACTTAAGATCTCTTAAGCAAATTTCAAACTTACAACCTTATTGCTAACTTCAGTCACGTGGCTTTACCTCAGCTCTCCAGAAAGTACTCATCTTGCATAGGAGGAACTTGATTCTCTTGGAGTAACTAATCTCCTTATTTCACTTTGCTCCCATCCCTGGAAACCACCACTCTATTTTCTTCTGTGAGTTTGATTATTTTAGATTCCACATTGAAGTGAGATAGCATTTTTGTAAGTCAGTTCATAATAGCATCACAAATATGAAATAGGAATAAATCCAGCTGGGAGCCATGGCACTCACCTGTAATCCCAGTGGCTCGGGAGGATGAGGCAGGAGGATCAAGAGTTCAAGCCAGCCTCAGCAAAAGCAAGGCATTAAGCAACTCAGTGGGACCCTATTTCTAAATAAAATACAAAATAGGGCTGGGGATGTGGCTCAGTGGTAGAGTACCCCTGAGTTCAATCCCTGGTAACCAAAAAAACAAAAAAAAAAAAAGAAGAAGAAAAGAAATAGGGATAAATCTGAGAAATTATGTGTAAGACCTATACACTGAAAACTTCAAAGTATGGCTAAGAGAAATGAAAGAGCTAACTAAATGGAGAGATGTATTGTGATTACAAATTGCCCGTCTTGATATTGTTAGCTTGTCAACTCTCTCCAGATTGACGTAAACATCCATGCATTTCCAGTCAAAATCCCACAGGCATTTCTATAGAACTTGACAAACTGATCCTGAGACATAGGGAATTGCAAAGGACCAAGAATAGCCAAAGCAACTTTGAAAGAGAAGAATATTGGAGAACTACTTTCTTTCAATATTTATTATAAAACTGGTAATCAAGAAAATATGGTACAGCTTCTTTCATAAACTTTCTTTCATCAAGACAGACAAATAGAGCGATAAAACAGGTGGAGAGTCCAGGAAGACAGGCAAATATATGTGAGCAACTTGCTTTTCTTGATTTTTGTCAAAAGTACAAAGGTAATCCAATGGAGAAAGGATAGTCTTTGTTGTTGTTGTTTTTGGAGGGGAATATCAGGGATTGAACTCAGGACACTTAACCACTCAGCCACATCCCCAGCCCTTTTATTATATTTTCTTTTGATACAGGGTCTTGCTAAGTTGCTTTGAGGAAACTCTTTTAAACAAATGGAGTTGGAATTGGATACACAAATGCAAAAGAACAAAATTCTATCTATATCTTAACATCATATACAAAAATTAACTCCAAATGGATCATAGACCAAAATATAAAACCTAAAAATGTGAAATTTCTAGGAGAAAAAAACATAGGAGAATATTAAATTGGTTGGCAATATCTTACCTATGCTACCAAAAATGCATAAACTTGCTTTCATAAAACAGCAAATTAGCGGCTGTGGTTTTAGTTTATGGTAGGGTGTTTGTTTTGCATGTGTGAAGCACCAGGTTTGATTCTCAGCACCACATATAAATTAAAATAAAATAAAGGCCCATTAACAACTAAAAAATATTTTTTAAAAAATACAGCTAATTAAAATGTTATCAAAAACTTTGGGGGGGCTGGGGTTGTGGTTTGGTGGTAGAGCACTCGCCTAGCATGTGCAAGGCACTGGGTTCAATCCTCAGCACATAAAAATAAATAAAATAAAGGTATTGTGTCCAACCAAAACATATATATATGTTATATATATATATAACATATATATATATATACACACACACACACATACACACACACACTAACACCAAAAATAATTAAAACCTTTTTCTCTTTGTAAAACACTGCTAAAATAAGTAGAAGACTAATCACAGACCAGGCAAAATACTTGCAAAATAATATCTGATCAAGCACTTGTATCCAGAATGCATGAGGAACTCTCAAAACTCAAAAATAATGAAACAAATAAACCAGTAAACAAAAAGTAGGCAAAGATTTGAACAGACACTTCACTAAAATAGATATAAGGAGGGAAAATAAGCACATGAAATTATGCTCAACATGGTTAATCATGAGGGAAATACAAATTAAAACCACATTGGGATATCACTGCAAACCTGCTAGTATTGATAAGAGACTAACAATATCAAGTATGGGCAAGGGCTAGAACTCTCCTATACTGTTGACAAGACTGTAAACCATACAGATCATTTTGGAAAACAGTTTGGCAGTGTCTTAAAGAGCTAAGCATACGCCTACTATATGATTTAACTAGTCCATTCATAAATATTTACTCAAGAAATGAAAGCATGTAGTCATAGCAGTTTTATTTTTAATGAGTAAAGAAAGGATTATACTAAAGCAATTCATTATTCAAATTAAGAAAATAAGACCAAATCCCTGAAAGCAGTATGGAGATTCCTCAGAAAACTTGGTATGGAACCACCATTTGATCCAGTTATCCCACTCCTCTGTACATACCCAAAGGACTTAAAATCAGAATACTACAGTGATGAAGCCACATAGATGTTTATAGCAGCTCAATTTACTATAACTAAGTTATGGAACCAACATTGGTGCCCTTCAACAGATGAAAGGATAAAGAAAATGTGGGGCTGGGGATGTGTCTCAAGAGGTAGCGTGCTCACCTGGCATGCATCGGGCTCTGGATTCGATCCTCAGCACCACATAAAAATAAAAAGATGTTGTGTCCACCAAAAACTAGTTTTTTTTTATCAGGTCTAAGTTTTTTGATGAAGTCCTTAGGTTTTTCTGTACATACATAAGATCAGGTCATCTGCAAACAAGAACAATTTGACTTCCTCTTTCACAGTTTGGATGAACTTTATTTCTTTCTCTTGACTAATTTCTGTAACTAGGATTCCAGTATTATATTGAATAAGAGTGATGAAAGTAGACATTCTTGTCTAGTCCCTTCTCTTAGAGAATACACTTAAGAAAATCCTGTACAGTTAATACAAACATCTGTAGAGAGCAGTGTAACATCAGTAACATTGAATATATGTACTGATGACCCAGCTATTTCTAGGTAATTATCATGGAAAAATTCCCACATATGTCATTTTAGTCAGCTTTTCAAGAACAATTAAAGGAGGAAAGGTTTATTTGGGGGGCTCATTGTTTCAGAGGTGTGAGTCCATAGATGGCCGGTTCCATTCCTCAGGGCTCGAGGTGAGGCAGGACATAATGGCGGAAGAGTGTGGTAGAGGAAATTAGCAAGGAACATGGCACCAGGAAACAAAGAGAAAACTCTGCAAGGACAAAATATAAACCCCAAAGGCATGCCCCCAGGACCCTTCTCCTCTAGCCATACCTACCTGCCTACAGTTACCATCAAGTTAATCCCTACCAAGGGATTAATGCACTGATTAGGATAAACCTGTTATAACCCAATCACTTCATTCTTAAACTTTCTTGCATTGTCTCATACATGAGTATTTGGAGGACACCTAATGTCTAAATCATAACATACATACACAAGGAGATGTGTATAAGAAAATTCACAATAAACTTTTTTTGCCTCATTATTCTGTTGTTGTTGTTGTTCTAATTAGTTAAACATGACAGTAGAATGCACTTTGACCCATCATACATAAATGGAGTATAACTTCTTATTCTTCTGGTTGTACATGATGTAGAATCACACTGGCCGTGCAGTCATATATGCACATAGGGTAGTAATGTCCAATTAATTCCTTCTAATATCATTCTTACCCCATAACCTCCTCCCACTATTACTCCCTTCAGTCTAAGCCAAAGTAACTCTATTCTTCCCTAACCAACCCCCTCTATTGTGTATTACCATCTGCATATCAGAGAAGACATTCAGGCTTTGGTTTTTTAGGATTGGCTTATTTCACTTAGCATGATATTCTCCAGCTCCATCCATTTACTGGCAAAATTCATCATTTCATTCTTCTTTAAACCTGATTAATATTCCACTGTGTATATATACCACACTTTCTTTTTAATAATTGCAAATAATCACAGGGCATAGCAGCAAAACACCTGTAATCCCAAGGCTGAGGCAGGAGGATCACAACTTCAAAGCCAGCCTCAGCAAAAGCAAGGCACTAAGAAATTCAGTGAGACCACTGTCTCTAAATAAAATACAAAATAGGGCTGGGGATATGGCTAAGTTGTTGAGTGTCCCTGAGTTCAATTTCCATTACCCAAACAAACAAACAAACAAAAAATTCAATAAAGTTCATCAACAAGAGAATGGATACATTGTTTATTCATATAATATACTGTTATATGATGTGAAGAGTATGCCTATCAACAACAACCAAACAAGTTGTAAAATTACAAATATAATGTGAACCA